TAGTGGAAGTATTTTGTATTCAATGCTGATATTGTAGCCAAGAAAGTTAAATAGTTCTCACAAGTATCAGGTCAAGTAAAAAGGCCAGGATTTAAAATGATTCGCAAGGTAGCCAAACACTTTCCACTTGAAAGATTGGTGCAGCACAATCTTCTTTCCTCTATTTTCCCTTGTGTCATAATAATTTAAACTTACTAAATAATTCAGATATTTACTAATAAAAGGGTTTGTGTGTATACATAGTTTCTCAGTGCATCAGTTACCTATATATATATAGGTAGGTAGTGCAATAGTTATTGGGTGCTCTAAGCTAAGCAGAATTGGCATTCTCTGAATTCAAAACAAGTCTGAAGTGAGACAAGTTCACTCAGACACACCTACTACTGTTATGTGGCACTTCTAAAATCCTAATGGCTTATATGACTCGTAATTTTGATGTATTCATAAACATCAAAGTTTACACAAGCATACACAGGCACACAAATATATATGGGTCTGCCTAATGGTTGAATTAGTCGTGTATTTTCCATTGAACCTAAAGGTCAGTGTTCAAGCTCAAGAAAAAAAAAATCTAAGATTTTGACAGGCAGGTCATCTCCACTTGGATATTTTGGATAATCTTCCTACCATTTAGTATTGTTCTAGACTAAAGTTAATAAGTATTTTTTTTATACATAAACATTGTGTCAATGGATAAACATGTTTTCTTTTTTTCTTTTTGTTAATAGTGGAATAAATGTTTGCTGGGCTTGGCATAGAAAGTCTTATTAAAGCAAATGTATCTCTCAGCAGGGAAATCACCTTGTAACCAAGTGTGTTTTATCATTCAGCCAAGGGGGTCTCTACAGCAAAACAGACTTGATTACCATTTTTATGAAATGTACATCTTTTGTTGAGACATTTTCAATGACTATAAACAATAATTGAATTAAATTTGATTTTAATTTGACATTTGTAGCAATAAAAGCAATTTTAGTAGATACACAGGTTTTGAATAGATGCCACAGTCTTTTTGTTAATAGTGAAAGTATTGTCCACCAGTCTAAAAATCAAAAGTTTTATTAACGAAATTCTATGTCTGGGTTGGTAGACATTAATTTCACTGAACAAAACAGAAATTTAAAAAAAAGCTAAAAAAAAAAAATGAGATGCCCACTTGAACATATCTCTTCTAAAAATAACGTTTATAGTAATAAAAATAATATTGGATTAAAATTCCTTAATTTCTTAGATATATATATGTGTGTGTTTGTATGTGATTGAATGAGAGAGAGAAAATACATGGGAGGAGAAAAGTACAAGGTAGTTTATCAGCATGGAAAATGAACTTGTCTGAATTTCCAGGGTGAAGAATTATCATTATCTACAGTCAAACTAATGTCCTCATCTTTTTTGTTGTTATCACAATGTTTTGGCCGTTGTGTCCTTTAGTCTTCTACAAGTATCTGTTCATCAGGATAATCTTGCATGTTATTCAGACTGACAAACACCTAAAGAAGGCTAGTGGGCACAATGACTAAAACATGTTAACAACAAGAAAAAAAAAAGGCATACATTGTTGTGTATCAATGTCACAAGTACAAAAGATCTGTAGTCATTTTTGTTACTATAGAAATAATTACATGTTATCATATTTCCTGATGTCAAGGATGCTCTAGTATTGAAGAAGGCCAGAGGGTACAACAGTTGAAACGTTGTAATAACAACAAAAATGGGGACATAAGTCCAACTGTAAATAATAAAATCAGAAAATAGTTGTAATTTCAGGTAAAGCTGTTGATTTTAAATTTGATTTTATGCCCTTTATAGGTATGAATCTTTTTTCTCCGTGTTGTCACATTGCATGATATCTTAACACTCTTAAATATTATACTATTCATTTCAACACTAAAATCATAGCTTCTCTTGCCAAATTCATTTCCATATGGTCTGCTTTATTTTTCTTTATATAAATTAATAGCTACTGTCTCTTTCAACTTACTTACCTTCCAATGTTTATAGATATCTAATATCAGACAGTGCAGGGCTTCCTTTCTCCTTTCATATCTGTTTAATTTCATGTTATTGTTTATGGTTCTGTAATTTTCTTTGTTTACTCTTTGACATATTCAATGGAAACATTTGATACTTATTGACACAGATCTTGTAACATTTCATTTGCTCAGTAAGAAATTTATGTACATTACTAGTAGTCATAGTAGTAATATGGAGTAATTGATAGGAATCGGAGAGCCAAGTTTGAATTCCAGTCAAATACATTACATTCACTTACATGCTAATACCCTTAGGAAAGGTATGAATCCTCTTCTCTCCCCAGCTATGGGTAAATGGCAGGACAAACCGGGTTCTATAGCCTTGGATGGCAACTGCAGAAAGAAATGGCAACCTACTGCAAGGAAAAAAATCTGCCTCGTTAGTCATGTATCGAAAAGTATATGATTGCCTAAGCGTGTATCACGCATGGCACATAACTGACTGACTGAATGCCATAAAATTATGGTCTTACTAGTTGCAATAAAAATCAACTAAAATTAAAGGAATACTAGTCATAAATTGAATATGGTTGATGGCACTTCATTTAATAAAAATAAAGATAAGATTTTCATATATCTATAAAATGGGTACATAGGTGCTTCAAGCTAGAGCAATAGTAAACCAGATACTCTTACAGACGATTATTACAATAGTGAGTTCAGAGTTCAGAGTTCACTGGTGATCCTACACATGTAACTTTGTACCTGGTTAAATTAAAATTAGTAACTATATGCACACACACACACACACTATATAAATTTGAAACATAGTAGTTTTTTGAAAATATTTGACTTTTCATTCTATTTTCATGTAAGCTTGCTCTATAAGAATGACCTTTGTAGCCGATATAATCATATACTTCCTATTGGTGTCAGAGGTCATTGTTTGTGTCTAAGGAAAGTCAGTTTCAAATGCTGATTTTCTCATCAGACAGGACCTTCCAACTCATAGAATCAAAATACCTACCACCTGGCCTTGTATTATATGAAGCTAAACTTGATAAATATATACAGATTTTTGTTATTGAGAATATTTCAAATGCTGATTTTTAACCTTTAACACACTGCATTATTCACCACTTTCCTTTCCACTGCATTGCTTTTCAAGGCTTATCTACTGAACTTCTTAATTTTGGTCATGGTCATTTTCTGTTGCCATAGCCGGATATGACAACACAACTGCAAAATTCAAACACCCTATCATTCATTTGGCTGAGTTGCTTGCAGTGGCAGGAAAAATTTTTGCTTTGCAAACAAAATCACCTCCAGAATGTTAAAGGTTAAGGAAGGCAACCCTTTTCATTTAAAAGATTAGTGTAACACTCTTTTTCATCCTAGTTCATCAATTTCTTTTTGTGCTATTCAAAGCCTAGTAAAATGTCAACATAAAACCTCTTTTATAGTTTCTTCTGATTTGTTCATTGCGTCTGGAGTTGCCTCCCTTGGATATCATCGCTGAATTTTCTCTATTCAGTCATATTTCAGTGCATTAAATTAAATAAATTTGTAGCAAACCTATTTAAAAAAAGTCTTTTTCATTTCTTGCAGGAACAAACAATTGATTTGGACAATGTAAATCCAACTGATTTCAAGCATCTAAATGAAAACCACCATTTGTATGTATTTCAAAAATTTGGTCTACGAATTATGGCAGAACCAAATGATTTATTTGGTGACTACCGACTTGTGGTTGATGGCTTTCTGCGAGAAGACCAATGCCAGGAATTAGTTGACTTTGCAGCGGTATGAAAAATTATACTATTACTCATCAGTCTAAGAAAAATTTGTACCCAGAATCAAATCTGAAACGAGGAAACCAATATGTTGTTTTTTATAAATTAGGTTATATATATATATATATATATATATATATATATATATAAGCTAACTCTCATTTCAAACAGTACAGCTTGATTTATAAGCTTAGCATATCAAACAATTTATAAGTTTGCACATGTTCTCTTCATGGTGGTGACCATCTCAGGGATCTAATATTCAAATCTTAGATATATTAAACTCTTGTTATGTAATAAATATATTGGTACTGTCATTTTTATAATAGAAGATATTTGCATTTAAAATGTATCCTTTCATTATGGGACACCCTGTATATTCTGGCAGGATCATGCTCAGGCTATATGGTGTGGAATTTTTACTCATGAATATATGGTTCTAGTTGTTCTCATGGAAATTTAACAGAATAAAAATGCTGGAAAATATAAAATACATTGTAAATACATAATGCAGAATGTATTCCTACTTATAGTAGATAACTTGATCTACCATCAGTAGTCAAAAGCTGAATCATCAGCAGAAATAAATTCATCTATTTTCTCTGCTTCAAAATTGACTTCATAGTCAAGAATGACCTGTAAAGCCACCTGGGAATTCATAAGGCTATACCTGATTGTCATAGAATTGAAATAAAATCATTATTGCTAATTTCTAACACTCTTGCTAGTCAGTCTCTAAAGAAGCAAATAAACAAGAAAAGAATGGAAGATAAAACCTTGCACTTTTAATATAGAAATTTTGTAAAAATATAATTCCTAAATTTCCTTTATTTTTCCATTTTTAGCTTCAAGAAGATAAGAATGGATTTCGGACTATTTCAATATTAGAAGCAATAAAGGTATAAATTTTTCATAATTGTTTTCATTTTTATGTTACTTTTTTATTTTTTTAAATTTTGATAATTTTTATAAATGGGAGGGATACTTCATTTTACTTTTATTGATGCATGTTTTTTTATTGAAAAGTTATTTATACTTGATTTATCTGCATAATTTACTCATAAATTTGATTTTGTCATGGCAATTAAAAAAAGAAGAATCTGATAGTAAAATAATATTTGAATTAAAGTTATGAGAGCTGAACTTGAGATGATCTTTTCCATGAGTTATATAAGTGTTTAATTTTTTTTTTTCTATATTTAGAAGTACTTAATATTTGGGATAGAGCAGATGTAGATATAAACAGCATGGACAAAATGAGCACTGGTTACTGTTAGTTTTATGCTTTAAATAATCATATATATATATATATATATATATATATATATATATATATAGCATATCATTGACAGGTGTCTAAACACAAGATTCTGTCAAGAAAAGCCAGAGAAATATAATAAAAACAACTAAGAGGAAGATATTTGAATGACTTTTTAAATAATACCTAATATTATTTCTTTTGACCTTCATTCAATCCAAATCACATCTCTGGTAATAATAGTAATGGTAAAATAATTAGCTGCTTCTATACAGAAAAACTTCGGCATTTATTGACTGAACAGTTATAGTTACTATCAATTAAATTTAAAAAAATCATTTTTTTTATAACAGTTTTTCAGGAAATTACACTTCTCAAGGCCACTAACTCTTATACCTCTTTCTTGTATTGATGGTAGCTTCCCCTCCTAACCTTTTGTTTAATGTAGTGTGGAAAGTCAACATCATGATTATATTTTTTATTTTCCCTTCTGATTACATGTGCAACTCATGTTGTGACATGGTTTTTGTTATTTGGTAGAGTTCTTTGTAATATTGTAATGCCAGTTTAGATGAGGTATTGTCTTTAAGATCTAGAGGATCATTGATCTGAAAAAACAATTGTATATGTTCTAGACAATCTTTCTCACCAAAATCTATCTTGCACATTTGTAATTCTACCATTTGTCCATGCATTGAATATTGGTGTCACATCTGGTCTGGTGCTTCTTCTATGTATTTAGAGATTCCTGCTAAAATTCAAAGAAGCAGTATTATTGGCCCTGACCTGGCATCTTGGCTTCAGTCACTTTCATACTGCCATAACATATCTTCCCTGTGCCTTTTCTATAAATATTTTCATAGTAATTGTTCTGATGAGCTTTCCTCTTTGGTATCTAGACTTTAAGAATTTAAGTGCAGTACTAGATTGGCAGCTAGGTCTCATTGTTTTACAATTGAATTGGCTAGATGTAACTAAGTTCTATGCTAACAGTTTCTTCTCTCACACTTCTTGCTCGTGCAACTCTCTTCCAACTTCTTACTTTCTAGTCAAGTTTGCATTTGAATTTTTGTAGATGAATGTCAATCGTTATCTTCTGTCTTAATTCCTGTTCTTTTATTGTTCTTTCTCCTTAATGTTTTTCTTTTATTTTTTTTCACACCCACTAACCCCTCATCTTAGTAGTCTTGTTGTGTATACATAATAGTTTAGACACTTCTGAAAAAGTTGGATGCCATGCATGACCCCTATAGGAGAGTTTAGATCTGACAAGGCTATTTAAGAGTATGACTCAAGTTTTCAGGTTAATATTTTGATATTGTAGAATTTTATGGCATTAGACAAAAGTATCCATACTGCAACTTATCCTGTGTTCACTTTTTTCATTTCTTATACTGAATGCATTATAACTGATCCATACACAGAAGTATTCAAAGCGCTGAGAATTGATTAATTCTACATTCTGAATTTTTATGATGGATTTAGGGTATATGTTATCACTGCTCTCACATTTCAATTTAAAATCATAGTTTCTGTTTTGGAAAGGTCTTTTTTAAATACTCTTCTTGGAACACTTTGTAAAGGATATGAATTCTTTTTTGTTCAAGATCATTCTTATACCAACTATGAACATCTATTTCATCAGTGTATCCCCCCCACCAATAATGCCACTAAGATACAAGGGGATACTGGGAGTGAAAGAGAATAATATGACTTTAGAAGGAATTGGAAACCCAATACTAAACAGGAAACAAGGGATGAACCTCTACTCCTGTTCAAAAGACCGGAGGATAATTTTTTTTTTTCCATAATGATTCTGTCTCCTTTGTTACATTTTTTCTAATAAATTTTTTCCAGTCATTATATAGGCTTTTAATTATTTAAAAACAAACCTTTCTTAAATTTCTGTATTTCTATAAACTAATAATTTTTTTCTCTGTATTTCTTGGCTGCCAGAAAATAAATGAATCCCATGATCAGGAAATCACACTTCGCCTCTTTCTTCGATCAAGCAGTATAGCCAAACACTTCATGCAGCGATATCTCAATCATAATCTCTACCATCACACAACACGTATTATTTGCAAAGATAAATGGGATGGTAAGAAATGTTGATACTGATATTTGAATCATGTTTTTATTTGTTATTAATATTTTTATGTGTAGTGGTTGATAACACTACAAAATATCATATAACCAATTATTTAAATGAAAGTCTCATAATTAAACCATAATAATCAATATTTTGTTGACAAGAAAGTAGAATGATTTACATCAATCAAGACGTCATTTGAACTTTAAAATGAGATGTAATACAAAATAGCACTAAAAAGTTTCAGGAATAGGCCTTAAGAGAAAAAAAAGTACACCATTACTCCAGAAATTAATGTATTTCATATAATAATAGTACAAATAGATAATTCCTGACCAAACATGTAAAATCCCTAGAATATAATTCATTTAAAGGAAAGCAGATTTTCCTAAAGAAGTGCTCAAATGACAAATAGTTAAAAGTTCAAAGGATTTTTCTTTGCCATCGACTTTAGTTTGCATATTCAGGGGCAGATAACTTCTGTAACAATGAAATTATAAAAATCGAATAATTTAACTCGAGTGTTGTAACATTTTTGAACATTTAAATGTTTAAATGTGATAATGTTTTCTAGCATAGAACAAATTTTAAATTTATTTGGGGTCTGTGATTAGCATTTTTTTTATGTAGCACATATAAATACAAAATCTGTTAATTAATTCAGATTTATCTGACCCTGACGAGTGGTTTATGTATGAAACTTAGTCAGTTACAAAGTCCTTTGAACGTTTCATGTGATAACTATATCACTTATTTAAATTTGGCCACTAACCATTTTTTGAAATACTCCCTCTAGCTAATGTCCACAGTAATCCCAGCATAACAGCTCTTCCATACCTCAAGAGCATTGCAGCTATCCTCTTTTTGAAATTAGCCCAATACTTAATTGTTCATCTGTCCAAATTTCATTTTTTGGTCATGAATTTCTACTCTAAAAACATGTATTTGGTGTAAAGAATTGTTGAGAAAACCTCAACTGCCAAAAAATCTAGAGATGATTCAGGCCAATGAAAAGAAGCAAAAGCACTTACTTTCTTAAGTTGCAGAATAAGATTCCTTTCCATGACGTAACGTGACAGTCTAATAACTTGCATTAAGTAAATATAAAAATAAAAAGGAAAAACACTTCGCTTATAATTACTTAAGGGATCACATTGTAAATAAGTCACATGACCCCTGAAACTAAAAAATGTTAGTAAAAACGTAACCACTTTTAGTAAGAAACAACAACCCAGGTAAGTACATTGTTTTTTCTCCTGCCTGAACAGTCAAGTCCTCCACAGAATGTTTGCTAAAAGAATGACAGAACATTTTGAATAGAGTTGCTGAGTCTTATGCAATATTTGATGCATGCATATTGCTCATATTTTTCTATTCCTAGTTATGATAATGAACTACATCCAGCAGCAATCTTCTGATCAGGAGATTGAAAATTTTGAAATTTTTGTCATGGGGGTGTTTTGTAGGTCCCCTGTGAATATGTGGTATTGTGGTATATGCTGGATTGTGAGGTGACAGATGAGTTCTTGTGGTGAATGAGTAAATTGTTATGAATGAATGGGTCACGAGTCAGATTAAATAGGACAGCTAATGAAGACTGTCCTCTCTCCATTTACTTCTTGGCCTTATGCCACAATTCTGTATTGTTCAGAATAAATACCCTCTGATCAGGAGATTGGAGGTTTTGATGAACATGGAACCACTTTTTAATTGCTATCATTTCCAGGTCCACCCTGACCTTGGGGTGTTAACACCTGTTAGTGTCCCATCTATGGGTAAATAGTGAAATCCTAAACAAACAAAAAAACACTATAAAAGTATAAAAATATATTTTTATGATAAAAAAAAAAAAAAAGCAATACTATTTGTTAGTAAAATGACCAATAATACATGTTATCTGTAGTTGAAGCCATAAAATTGCATTCAAAATATTTGGATTTCAGCATTAACCCAAAGATGTTGATATGCCCTTAAACAAAATCAACCAAACAACCACTATGAAAGAATTCTTTCATGACATTAATCCATATAATATCCTACAATTTCTCAAAGAAATCAAACTGTATTCCAAAATATAACTTCAACAAAACTACAACATAAAACACACATATCAGTGCCTCTAGTAATTATATCTATACAAACATGTATATGCACAAAAGCTGAGTATCATCCTACATATATTCACTTGTGTAAGCAGAATAACATGGATCATATTTTTATTACTTCAAACTCAAGAAAATTAAATTTTGGCATTAAATGACTCAGGAATTAATATGCCGTCAAAAAATAAAATCAATCAATCACATTTGTCAGTTATTGTAAAGATCGCAAAGCTACCACAACATACTGTTACAAAAAAAACTTATGTAATAATTGAAGACAAATAGATAGCACAAAGTCTATTAGTAGACTGACTCAGTAGGCTGGGTTAAAATGAGTGTTAGTTGCATGTGCATTTCTACTGAATGATACAATCCCAGTATATAAACTAGGAACTTTCTGGCACTCTTGTATGCCTCATAATAAGCTGCTATTTTAATAGAATTATATCCCAAATTCAGTTTGGTATAATTTGGACATTTTTTTTTTCCTTTTAAACAGGTAATTGTTTTATGACTGAGACTGGTAAATGTAGCAATGAATCTCTTCCACAGGGAACTTTCCAGTAAGTATTTTTTAAGCTTTAAAAAAAAATATTGGATTCATTTTAATAATTTTAAATTATGCTGTAAAATCATTTATTGTATTGGCTGATACTCAAGTCGGCAATCATAGAAACTGAATATGAACAACTTTTCTTTCTTTTTTTTTTTTTTGTCTAGATGAATATTTATTTTAGTCTTCAAAGTTAGACTTTCACAACAAACTACACTGGATACCTATTTGAAATGTACTTGTAGATGTTTTAATATTTACTAAGTTTAGCTTAGTAAACCAGAGGATTACATGTTTTGGGCATCCAGTAAGCATCAAACTCACCAATATAGATCATCATTCAAATAACTACCAATTCATGGAAAAGCACTCTGCAAGTATTTACTCGGTCTGCTACAAGGCCACAAATACAGATCACTGAGTGAAGATTGAAATCACTACAGTAATACTAACCATTCCTGTATTGTAAGATACTTTTATATAATATTTACTAAGTATAGTCTGGTCCAAATTCATAAGTATAAAACACCCAATGTGTTGCATACTAATGATATGTAAAGCACCATTTGAGTATTTACTAACCCTATATTAGTATGGTACAAGGCTATACTGTGTTGCAAGCTCCTTTTGGTAATAATGGTCTGTGAAAGTAGCTTATGAAGCATTCCTTCATGTTGAAGTGGCTGCATAATTATAATATGTAATCTGAAGCCATTTTAAAGGTCAATTTATTAGTATATCATTCTTTAAATGTGCACTTCCAACTAAATGTTTATATCTTTCACATAGTAATATATAAAATCAAATGTTCACTTATCTTATATCTCCTGATTTTCGCAGAGACTGCATTCACTCATCAGAGGACTTGATTGTAAAACTGTATTTACTGAAATCCTACATAATTTTCAGCTATATCGATTTGTGATTTGTACCGTAATCAATAATATAGTTTGATTTTTTTGCATTGAAACTTGTATTGCTTTATGATTTTATAAATATACCTTGAAAATATCTATTGTAAAATATAAGATCTGTAAACTTGGTATTTTCAATCAACAATCATTAATATAAAATAGACGTTAATTATGAAAGCAGTTAATGATAAAGGGAGGCAAATCCAGTAGATATTATCACTCAGTTGTCTCCCTGGAATAAATATACCCGAAATGTTTTTTTTATTTACTATTAAAGAAACGATTATTAAGATGAAAGAAATAAAAGTCAAAAATTAATAATAGTTGACAATGCTTCATTTACTAAAATTAAAATTAAAGATAATATCAATTTGTTGTGTTGAATTTTTGTACAAGTTAAAAAAAATATCTCTTGATAAAAAAAAAAGTATCTATTGCTTGGAGAAAATTCTAGTAGTTGTGATAGTTGTGTATTTCTCTCCTTGTGCCAGAGTTGTAAGCAAGTAGAACACCTTTTCTTTAACAATTTCTCTGACACATTCATTTTTAACTTCAGATCATTGCAACATTTATTAGATCTTCTGATTGAACTAATATAGATTTTACCATAGAAAAATCAGCATGAATAAATGCTACGTAACATAATTTTTAGCAACCAAAGCATCCATGAATTATTTACTGGAATATATACTAGAAAATAACTCTGAAGTGATATGGATGTTGTGTGTAATTTGTTTATTAATTTTGTATTTTTATGGAATTAAAATAAACTCTGTATTAGACATGAGTCTTGCTACAGAATGATGCACAGTAAGTTGTTAGACTTGCTTTTTTGGTTTATTGTTATTGGATATAGTAAATATGATTAAATTATCCGGTTGGTATTGTCCTGAACTTGAATTTTGCAGTAAAAATTTTGAGAAATATCCTTATTTTATTCTTGTGACTAATATTTTTAATTATAAATAATTTTGCTCTCTTTTCAGTGCTATTACATATCTCACAGACATTGAAAAAGATGCAGGTTCCTTCTTTCCGAAACCCGATGAGGTAAATTATTTCTTTTGTTATTCTTTAACAAAACTAACATGTTAGATATTTTATGATTGGACATTTCAAATTATAATGCCATTAGCAATAGCATTTCTTAGTTAAAATTAACTCAAACATATTTATATGCTTATGAGAAAGTTAGTAATTGGAGGTTGGCAAATGCTCAAATTTTAATAACATTAAGAGCAGAACATTTAAGATAAGTAACTTTTCAGTATTCTTCTGTTTGTGTGAGAGATATATGGATAGTTGGTTATCAAAAAGGTGTGCATATTTTTCCATTATTTGAGCACATCTAATCCATTAACAATTGCAATGGCTTTTGCAAGATGTTTCAATAACTTTACTTTTCTTGTTCTATTTGGTTATGTTGTTATATTATTAGATTTTATTAGTAATGGTTTCCAGCCATATCACATTGAAACACTAGTTCTCATATGATCACCAAAGTTAAGCAACATCAAGTCTGGTCAATATCTAAATGGGTGATTGTTTTGGAATTCTAGGTGCTATGAGCTTGGATGTGCAGGTGGTGTAATAGATAACTGCCTGGAATTGGAAATCGAAGTGCTCAGTTCCAATTCCAGTTAAGTCTGTTATATTATTCACTCACATAATTAAAACTCTGGGACTCACTTTAAATTTCAATAAGAAATAAATTAGTCATGAAATTTGAAAATATGAAATTATAGTTGAGCATTCCCAAAGATTAGTGGTACAATTTTCATTTAAAAGGATTTATGAAGAATCCATTTTTTTCAGATAGGTTGATAACAACAGATTTAAATCCCTTGAGGAAGGCAAAAGTGAAAGGATTATTCATTCCTCCTTAAAGATTAAGGAATTTAGCATCCAATTTAAAATATCAAATGACAAAGACCTGACTTAGATATGGAAGCCATGTGCTTGGTGTCTCACGAAAGATCAGTTTAGGGCAAGAAAAGGTTAATGTCTTCTTGGTGCTTTCTCAATGACCAGTTTTGATAGACAATGTCTGACCAGAAAATAAAGACTCAGGCCCAAAATGAAGGTGCCACTAACTCTCATTTCATACCAATCACCCCGTCCCAGTAAAAGTAAGGAATGAAGTAGACTATTCATTTTTATTTAGACTACGCAAGCAAATGTAAGTGGTTTTTTTTTATTTCTTTCATTGTTTTATCCATTTGTTTTATCTTATCTGTTTAATGCCTTCACTGTTGCCTGGCTGTGCTGGCTCATGTTGTGAAAAGCAGGAAATTGACATTTACTAGAAATAAATGGTTATAAAAACAGTGACAGTAGTTTCTCATGGTTATTAAATTATTAGATTAATTTCTCATATATTTGCACAAACTGTTCACAAAATGCATCTAATAAAAAAATAAATATACAATTAACATTTGCATATGTGATTGTTATTTATATTGTTGCTGTGAAACTCAAATTATTGTGATATGGCTCACTATACAAAACCAACAATGATGCAGACCACCAAGTTTACCCACCCTTGCTATATAATGTCTTATACTATCAATATATTTGGGAAAAAAAGTCATTAACATTTCAAATGTTGTTTAAACAGTTGAATTCTTCCTTTATATATAACCACAGCTTTTTGATAAATCCAGTCTTTAGTCCTTATTAGGTTTATAATTAGTAAGACAAGAGTAATGACTATTTCTTCAAAAAATGACAATGGACAGAGAGAAGGTATAGAATTAGTGTGTACATACAGTCAGTCAGTTATGTGCCATGTGTGATACACACTTAGATGATCACATATCTCTTGATATATGAATGACAAGGCAGATTTTTCCCGCAGTAGGTTGCCATTTCTTTCTGTGGTAGACCACTTGTCATCCAAGGCTATAGAACCCGGTCTGTCCTGCTATTTACCCACAGCTGAGGGGAGAAGAAGAGGATTCATAGCTTTCCCAAGGGTATTGGCATGTAAGTTAATGTAATGGATTTGGCTGGATTTTGAACTTGGCTCTCCGATTCCTCAATCTGAGCCGCTATCTATTACTCCATCATGCCTCCACTCTACATACACAAAATCAAAACCATTTTTTATGTTAAAGAAACATTAGATTGTTGCCTTCAAGAGCAGAAACAAGTTATCAACAATGATCCCATGAAGGTAGCAAAAAATGAAAATACATCATTAGCACGTTAAAGTATTAGAATGGTTTTCAATAGTAAAATCACATGTCGAAGCCTCTATGAGAGAAGGGTTCAACAATAGATTGTTTTTATGACATCTCATACAAGAGATTACATTTATGACATACAAATGTAGAAAAGTATAAGAGGAGTAAAGTAGCTGTCCTATTAAAATCAGGCTCAAAGAACCTCAGAAGGTCATAGCTAAAAGGGATCCATTTTGAAAGACCATATCTAGAAAGAGAATAATAAACATTACTTTAACTTGGATGGGATCAAAATAAATGACAGGAAGCACTGTTGGAAAATGAGAAAGTTGAAAGAAGCAGCTAATATCATCCAGGTTTAGAGTGATATTCCAAACTTTACAAAAATGTAACATCCTCTCTTTTGCATGTTGATTTTCCCCATTTGGAATCCCAATGAACATTTTTTTTAATCTGATAATCACTTCATTGTGCTTCTTTCTTCCACAGATCATTATTCGTCCAAAATGTGGTCGAATGGTAACATACAAATCCAGTGATCCTGTTGGGGTGAAACCCTTTTCTGATCCTGATATTCAAAGATGTGTTCTTCTCAATGTGTTTGACAATACCCCAAGTCAGGATGAAATAAACCACATCGATGCTTCTCTTCTCCTAAAGAAAATAGACCAGCAGAGAGTAAAGGTCAATTCAAATGACCGGAAAAAGGTGCTGAAAACACTGAAGGAACAGGGAGTTGAGGTAACTATGACCAGCAAAGATCTTCGTGGAAAAGAGAGATTTGTGGCTGATGGTCTTGCATCAGATGAAGAATGTGAAGCCCTGATTGAACTGGCCAATGTAAGTAAGAATTTTTCCATTTATTATTGTTTTTCTGGTTAAAAGATAAGAAGCCTATATTAAATTATTATTTTTATATATTAGGTATTAAAAGGTTTTTGATTGTAGCATGGTTTTCAGACTTTTATCATTGGATGGAGATAACACAATAATGACTTCCTTCAGACATTTCTGGGCTTATGTCCAGATCACATTGAAACACTGCTTTTCATATAATCACTGAAGTTAAGCAACATCGAGCTTGGTCAGTACTTAGATAGATAACCACTTGGGAATACCAGGTGCTGTAATGGATAACGGCTTGGAATTGAAAATTGTAGAGCAGAGTTCCAATTCCAGTTGTGGTCTATATATTTGCTTACATGCAAATACCATTGGGGAAATTATGAATTCACCCCATCTTCTCCAGTTATAAGTTAATTATCAAGATTTGTATCAATAAATAATTATCTCCAATAAATTATTATAATCTAAAAATATTTTCTGGCTTTAAATAACCTGCAACAGGTTGATAAGCCATAAAAAACAAAATCAGAAATTTCCACATCAAACACTAATAAATACTTTTAATAGGTAAGATACTTTAATAAAAGATTATTATTGTATCATAATATTATATCAAGTTGTTTAAAAAAATAATTTTCTTTCTGAAAAACCTTTTTATAAATTATAATTTTTTTTCTCTTCTTGATTTTTCTGTAATTTTTATTGTTCAGAAAATATCCATTTTTTTAAAATTTATATTGTGAGGACCTTGGTCTTTTCTTATATATAATTGTTTCTAATTTAATATATTTATAATAGATGAGTGGTAGATATGGATTATGTAAACATAGAAATCAACACTGTATGGTGATTGTCAGTTTCACAGTTTAAGCAATCAGCAAACTATGTGTTATTACATTTTGCATGTACTTTATATATATATGCAACTAGGGACCTATGGAAATTGAAGGAAGGGTCTTTTTTTTTGTTTTGTTTAGAGGCAATGTTTTAGATTATTTATAGCCCTGAACTTGAGTTTGTTTTATTTATTTCTGAATATTTTGTATGCTTGGTATTTAAAATAATGTTGATAAGATTTAGGTTGTGTGTTCTTCAGTCTTTTGAATCATAATATAGTTTAAGGTAGTGTAGCAGGATTTTGTTCTTGTGCTTACATTTGAAAATGACCTCAAATTTTTTTAATATTATTCTGGAAAGATAATTGTTATTTTCTTCTTTAGGCGAAGGTTACATCATTTTGAGGTGTTGTAAACTGGTGTTGTTTTTCTTATACCCCATAATAGTTTTGGTATATTATGGTTTGTGTTTTCAGTGTATTGTTCTATTTGCATATTTTTGCTCTTAAATTATGTTTTTTGCGTGAATAGGTTCTTTCTTTCCAGAGACTTTCTGTTATTCCTACACATATTTTTTCTGGGTTCCTTTTGGATCTTATAGTAGCTTGGTATATTATGTTGGTTGATAAATTGTTATCATTGAGTGGGCATCTTGAATGAGTAAAAATGAATAACTAACCAAAATAAGCAAACTCATGCTTAGGAATATAAATAATCTACAACATTAGCTCTCTAAAAAATATGGTCTGATGATTATTTATGGCATGAAACTGACAGTCATGAGGCAGTGTTGATTTCTATGCACCCCCCTGCACACACACACACACACACATATAAGATATAAATTAGTTTATATTTAATACCAAATTGAACTGGCAGTCAGAAATTACCACAACAGCTAACCTAACAGTGAATATCAAGATGTTTTTTTTTTAATAAATTTTATTGAAAATATATTTGCTAATTATATTATTAAAGATAATATTTTGCCAGATCTTGATTAGAGAATATTTTCAATAAAAATTTATTCAAATTACAAAATTTGAGTAAGTTTTTATTGAAAATATTCTAATCCTTATTTTGTATTGTTTCTTTTCACAAGTTATTGATTCATTCAAAATTGTTTATTATTTATTTTTCTGTTTCTCAAATGAAAATTTTAATCATTATTTTGTTTTCTACTTTATTATTGATTTTTCCAAATCTATGCAAAAATTTTTTCCATCTCAGTGTTTCAAGATGGCTCATTTATAAACTGGTCAGTATTTTTAAAACTTTAATTTTACTGGTGGAATTATGGGTAAAAATTTTACTTAATTTATTGACAAGAGATTCAAGAGGTTTTACAGGTATTTATCAGCGCAAATTTAAAGCTTTGTTCAGGTTGTTTTGCTTCCAGTTTGTGGTTAATTTATATGGAATTGTTTTACCCATTTTTCATCCTTTAAAATTAAATGAAATTATTATGAATGATTGAATAACTTAAGATTTTGTCTCATTTAATAAATATGATCAGAACTAATGTTAATTTTTTGAAAATTAAATCATTTTCACTTTCTGTATTTTTCATCTAAATACATTCTTTTTACAGAGATGAAATATCACTTCTCTTTGAGTTAATTTCTTCCTCTTTCTTTTGTTTTCAAATACACATTTGATTTAAATGATTGCAAATGCATATTTAATTTCCAGAAATGAAATCTTTTTGTTGGAATTACTCTTTAATGTTATTACAAAAAAAGAATAAAAAGATTGTAAAAACCTTTAAATAACAAAGATGGAATTAAGTTAATTAAACTTTAATTCAAACTAGAATTGCTCAATTTACAGTGGATTTCATTTAAACAGAATACATTGGAACCATAAATTTTGGTCACTGTAAGCAATTATTCCTTTTAAATGGATTTGCATAAAAAGGACAAAATGTTTGATTTTATTCTTGTGTTATTTGTCCTAAGTAATTTGCTTGCTATAATGGCCAATTGCTCATTTCCAAGTGTGTTTGTCTGCTAAGAGAAATGCATATTCAGGCACATTTATATTTGTTCAACACCCACAAAGCCAACTTGTAGTTTATGCTGCAATTATGCTGAGCAGACCTTACTTGGAGTGTTTGTCATGATTAACAATTTGAACATATTCATTACACTCAAACCCGATGACTTGTGACTTTGTACTGGTACAACCATTAGTAGCTTCTGAACAGTTTTGTTTACTCAATTTCACTCACAATGCTTGGCTCAACATGTGGTATGGTCTTCAGGCATGTCTTCATAGTTTTGCAACCTGGGATCATCTCCCTAGGCTGGTATTATCAAGAAGTTACTACCTTGAAAAAACGACCAGATTAAGATTTAAACTCGGGTCTCGGGGTCAGAATACAAATGTTCTAACCACTTGGTCATGAAAATAAAAGATGGTGCATAGAAATGTGGATATTTTATATTGACTAAAGATAGATGCTAAATTCTAGATATTAACAGATTCCATTCTTGCTTCTGTATATTTTCCTTTAAGGCTGTATTATTAAGAAATCATAAAGAAACTGAACAATTATAGCAACTATTTATATCTGCAGTTTCATATTTTAAGATTTTTTTTTCATATAACTTAAATTTTTCTTTTCACTGCTAGGTCAACTGGTTTCCTGATGCTTTTTATTAAAAAAAACATTTTTATTTTTATAACATTTTAATGAATATGTTCTTTGGCCTTTAGGTGACATATTTGGTAGTCCTTATATTGAATTTTTTACTTCTCATTTGGAATACAATTTTCAACTCATGGATTTAACTCTCATAAAAGCATGATAGAAACTCTCCACATGGAGGAGATAAATATATACTTGGTAACAGTCAAGGGCAACTAAATACCTATATACTTAAGGCCAGAGAACATATTGACTGAAGCTTTGTGATAAAAGTGACAAAGATATGTGAGAATTTTAGTATGAGTATTTCATGAGATAATGAAAATACTCCATCTTTGGATAAAAAAAATGTATATTTAAAATGTTTGGAATTAACTATCATGAAAATCTGAAATCAAAATACTTTCTGATGATATTTTTTCACAAGATATCAGGCAAAATATCCATTAACGTTCATTAATCTGCATTATTATTATTATTACTTCCCTTTCCACGGTCTCTCAATTGCAGTATCCTTATTGTTAATTTCACTCAAATTGATTTTTGTTGCCATAGTAGGATATGACAACACAACTATGAAATTGGTAGGATAAACTTTTTGTACAGCAATAAAGGTTAAATCAGTTCAAAATCTATCATGTGCATTGAAATTGTACAATTTAATCCAAAATGTCCTTTTGTAAGTTCTGAAAACTCTGCTTTTCAAAACTCTTGAATCAATAATTAGTTTGCATTTTCCCAGCAAAATATATTAAAACAGATTTTTAAAAAATTTACAAAATTAAAGTTAATTGTTTAATTTCTATCTTAATTTAGATCATGTGGTTATTTGCTGCAAAAAAAAAAAAAATTGAAAGAAAAACTTAAATTCATAATACCAATTTAGATATAGTTTAATATTTGGATGGTTAAAAATAAAGTATCCTAACCTATGGTATGTACAATGCAAGACTGTTTTTTGATTCCTGATAACTATGGTAAAAGATATAATTATATATGAACTGATCAATAGAAATATACTAAGCTTAACTTAGTGAAGCACAAAGCTATGATTGTGAAGCACCCATGAGAATTGGATTCACTACACAGGAGTTAATGGTCTGCTAGCCAAGTTTATACCCAGTGGTGAAGTCCTTTATATTATATCTTTCATAATTTATGTTTTTATACAAAAATCTTGGCTTCCTGTAAGGATGAGCAGTTATCATGGAAAATGGAATCAGCATGTGGAGTTCAAATTCTGACCAAATCTGTTATTTTTCTCTTTGCACTAATACTCTCATGAAAGGAATAAAGCCATCTATCCTCCCCCACAACCCAATTATGGGTTAAATAGCAGATCTCTCTAGCCTTTAATGCCAGCCAGTCTAAGAGAAGGATTACTCTGGATTTTAAACTGGAGAAAGGCAACAAGAAACCACTTCATTATCTTTCCTAAGAAGTTATGGTAATTCATAGATATCAAAAGAAAAGGAAGATGTAGAGAGCCATGATTGCCTACATTCTGAAATGACCTGGCATTAAAAATATGTAAAAGATGTTTTGTGGTTTGTTTTTTTTTCTAAATAACTGTTCACTTTTGCAGCCCAAGCTGTAAACTGATCAGCCTTCCAACATACTGTAAATCCATTTTGTCAACTGGCAAAGCTTCTATTTTTAATGCTAAAGTAAATATTTCTGTAAGCAGAACTAACATCAAGATCAGTAAATAGTTTTGTTTTGTGTATGGAAACATAAGGATCATTTTGTATTTAAACATTTTCTTTATTAATAATTTTGGATCATTTGAAGATTGTTC